ACCTCCTCCCAGTACTGGATGGCGTACTGTCAGAAGGACTCTCCACCTCTCCGTTTGAGCATCAGTAAAGCGCCGATGTCCTTCGGCCTTTTACTACTAGTGATGAATCGAGCTACGAAGAGCTCAGTCATCTGCCTCCAAGATCTGATACTCTCAGGGGTCAAGTTCTCGTACCACATCATGACAGTGTCCTACAAGCTCATGGGAAAAACTCGGCACAGTACCATTTGATCGATGTCATAGATGGACATCGACTGCTTGTACTATCGCAGGTGACTCTCAGGATTTGTCTCCCATCATAAACTTTGAATTGGGGGACGGTGAACTTTTTTGGCATTTTGATCTCCCTGATCGCTCGTACGAACAAGAAAATGATTTGCTCGTCCTTGTCTTCCTCAGGGTCAAGTCTCCAGCGCCTGTCATCGTGGTGCATTAAGGAGTCCACTCGGGGTATTCCATCTCTCAGCCTCCTTGCCATGGACTCTATTTGGGACTCAGCTGCCACAGTATCGTCTGGTAGCTCACGACAGAGATCCCATCGGGACAATCCCACCTTGTGGTGATCCCAATCCAACCCCTCCTCGGGAGGTGGCTTTCCCTAGCTTCGTGGGTTGCGTCTCTCGGCTCTACGCCCGCGCATGGTTCCCCTAGGGGCCTCTTGCCTTACACCCCTAGGGTCACCACGACTAAGGCTTCGATCCTCTTACTAACCGTTTCACCATCTAGCATTCCTTAACTACTGAAAACCATCAAGACGTCATCGTACCTTAGCGTTTTTCTTCTCAAGTTGCTTGATGTGCTTGCCCATCTACTTCTCAACCAACTCAAAGATATCATGAGCCAAAAGGCCTTGCCCCCCAAGGCCTTAATCCACAGGAAAAGTTCGTTACGAGGAATGCTTGCCTTCGCCTGAATGACCCAAGGGGCCTGATTCCGTAACTACTGGGAGTCGAATAGCCTCCACGTTCCTCACGCGTAAACTCCCTCCCCCATCACCCTGGGATCGCATGTTCACCATGTTGTAACCGCTACGGGGAAAAGTTCGTGTATGTTCCCACAGATGACGCCAAATTTCATGAGAGATCTTCTACAACAAATTAAGACAACGATCTTCTGTATGGTGAACCTGAAACAACCACAGGGTCAGAAAAGGTGTCGGGTGAGCACCCAGCTTATCCCCTTCAAAACTTGAGTCAGTGTAAGATTAGAGGTTTTAACAGTATATATCTTATCTCAGTTTAGTCTTGCGTACCTTTGTTCATTTCTCTAAGGTATATTTATACCTGGATTAGTAATGAGTGTAAAGGCCTTAAGTCTCATCTGAACATTTAAGGCCTGACACTCTTATCCACGCGCAATGAGTGTTTTCCATCCAAATCTTCTTATCTTTAATGCTATGATGATAGGACAAGTGCTCAGGACAATGCCGAGTACTTATGGCTATCCCCCGTCACTCAAGTTCCTCTGATCGGCGCCTGACAACTACTCAACACTCAGGGAACTGTACCTCGGGGTACACTGAGGAGGTATACTCCGTGTAATAGCCATTGATGTCTAGGCATCATGACTGCAGGCTTAGGCTTTGAAGACGTAGGGGCTCATTAATTGCCTTGTCTCAGTCACTCACATTGCCATAAATGAATGGTTGAGTCATATTAAATGCTGGTGTCAGTACATGAGCTCGACTCCTCCGAGCCATTACTCCTCAGATCCAATTCTCGACGTCTTTTGGGTTCAATAACGGCTACATTATTGCACGTGTCCATCTGGGAGCTGTCGAGCCACCTAAAGTCCCGTCAATTACATAAAGTACTAAAGCATTTTATCTATTATTTGATGTGATGATATAGCTTATTAGAATGCAAGCTCAGTTTTTTTTGTTCAAAGTCAATTGCTATGTGCGGTAAGGGTTCTTCGTAATGGGCGCCATTTTATTGTATGCAGCAGGTAGGGTTGTCTTCTTGAATTGCTAGAATTATGGAGATAAGAGGAATAACATATTTGAATTTCATATCTTCTTCTCATATGCACTCTTTAAAAGGCCAGTAGTCTGGGAGGGGATTAAGGGGTATATTAGGAGAGAATGTACTTCGGTTTTCTTTCAAAGCCACTAAAAGGGGTGGACTGGACTCCTCTTTGGGTATGTGATTTGGTGGCTTATGGCAAGGATAATAATAAGGATTCATTGGCATCATTTGAATCTAACTCAACTACTTATTGATTTTTGGGCCAATATAGAAGCTGACTTTTTACAGCTAGTAGCTTTGAAGGAGTTTATGCCGGACAAGGAAGGGAGTAATTCAACCCTTAAAGCATGCAAGATTTTGGGAAAACCATGAGAAGAGAGNGGATTTGTTTGATTTATTATGGGACTCAAATTTTATGTATTCAGTATCTGGATACAAGTTTTCGAAAACATAGAAATTCATGGTATTTGATAATGTTATAGTAGTTGGATTTAATCATGAAAATTTGATCAAGAACAATTTACATTGATGGCACGCTATTTCTCCACAAACCTATCTAAGTACAATATATGAAAAATCCATTTGTACTAGGATTTGCATTTGTCATATTTTTGTAAGGTATTTTTTTAGAAAGAATTTTATTNTGTAGCAGACAAAAGAAGAGATGCTATTTGTTAGGGGCTAGTACGTGTCCCTCTTTTGGTAGCATTTCTTCACCCCTTTGTCCTTGTGTATGTAATAGTGTAATAGTTCTCTATTAGTTGTGTTTGTAGAGAATTTGTTTGATTTATTATGGGACTCAAATTTTATGTATTCAGTATTTGGATACAAGTTTTCGAAAACATAGAAATTCATGGTATTTGATAATGTTATAGTAGCTGGATTTAATCATGAAAATTTGATCAAGAACAATTTACATTGATGGCACGCTATTTCTCCACAAACCTATCTAAGTACAATATATGAAAAATCCATTTGTACTAGGATTTGCATTTGTCATATTTTTGTAAGGTATTTTTTTAGAAAGAATTTTATTTTAATTATTTAAAAAAATAGAAAAAAAATATTATATTTAGAAGCACGAGCATTCTCTAAACTATCAACATACTATGAGGACAAAAAGTATAATTTCACCAAGTAGAGTGTTAAAAAAATTAGTTTTAATTGATTTATGTTTGGTTGATGTTATTTATTTTATTTTTTTTGTTGCAGTTCGTCTCTTAATCCCCCTCCCTTCATTTCTATCTCATATTTATTTAGTTGTGTTCATATCATAATGATGTTTCAATTTAACACTATTTGGATATCAATCACTTATTTATACCATATAAAAAATTAAACTGTCATTGAATAATGCTTGAAATTGTTTCGATTTGTACTCTATTAATTTATTTTACAATAAATATAATGGACCCATATTATATTGATCAACGCTTTTTCTTAGTCTTTCTAATTGACAATTTTTTGTAGCATACAATCTTTTAATGCACATATTTCTTGCGATTTTTTTTGTTTATTATGTTGTGCCTTTAGGCACGGACAATTACTAATATATAATAAGGGACAAAGCATTTTAAATATCTAAATACAAACTTATCTTGAACTTTTTGGAGTTATTTACCACAAAACGGTATTTTTAAACTTATTTATCAAATTATGACACTTTTTAAATGCGGATGCAATAACCCGATTTTGTTAAAAGAAAATTAAAAAACACTGCAGCCCTATTATTAGCTTTAACACTTGAAAAAACGTGGTTAGTAACCACACTTTGTAACCACGGTTTTCTCGTGGTTGCTGCAGTTGACTATGGGCAGCAAGATCTCTATTGATGCCGAGTTTTAGGAGAAGCAATGTGGGAGATAGAACCAGAAGCCAAGTTGAAACTACCGGTGATTGAACCGACCCAAGAACCATCTTCACCAAAAGTTACTTGCATAGAACAACTCCGGCAACAAAACAGGNTGCTTGAAATTGTTTCGATTTGTACTCTATTAATTTATTTTACAAAAAATATAATGGACCCATATTATATTGATCAACGCTTTTTCTTAGTCTTTCTAATTGGCAATTTTTTGTAGCATACAATCTTTTAATGCACATATTTCTTGCGATTTTTTTTGTTTATTATGTCGTGCCTTTAGGCACGGACAATTACTAATATATAATAAGGGACAAAGCATTTTAAATATCTAAATACAAACTTATCTTGAGCTTTTTGAAGTTATTTACCACAAAACGGCAATTTTAAACTTATTTATCAAATTATGACACTTTTTAAATTTATTTATCAAATTATGACACTTTTTAAAGGTGGATGCAATAACTCGATTTTGTTAAAAGAAAATTAAAAAACACTGCAGCCCTATTATTAGCTTTAACACTTGAAAAAACGTGGTTAGTAACCACACTTTGTAACCACGGTTTTCTCGTGGTTGCTGCAGTTGACTATGGGCAGCAAGATCTCTATTGATGCCGAGTTTTAGGAGAAGCAATGTGGGAGATAGAACCAGAAGCCAAGTTGAAACTACCGGTGATTGAACCGACCCAAGAACCATCTTCACCAAAAGTTACTTGCATAGAACAACTCCGGCAACAAAACAGGCCGTGACAGGTCCAAAACTCCGGCCAAACATCGGCCCTGTCAATGTGTTCGAAAAACTTTGTTCTGTCACCGTTTTGCNGACAACAAAACAGGTCGTGACAGGTCCAAAACTCCGGTCAAACATCGGCCCTGTCAATGTGTTCGAAAAACTTTGTTCTGTCACCGTTTTGCTCAGAATCACAAACCCAAATCGTTTCGCCACATTTGGCACAAATGGATTTCATTTTTTCGATTCGGGTATTGTAAAAAGGTCGATGCTTTATCATTCAAGTTGGGGTTCTGTAAATCTATTTTCGCCATTTTATCATTCAAACTTGGAAAATCTTTTAAAGAATACTATTTTGGTTTTCCCCAATCTCCACCCCTTTTGCCTTCTTCACCGCCACCTACTGCCGCTTAACTATCATCGCTTTTCGGCACTCTATTCTTGTGCATGCGACTTTAAAATCATCAGAAGCCTGAGACCAGAAAAAGTTAAAAAAAGCAAAAAAAAAGGTAAATTACATCGACTCCCCTGAACTTTGTCACTAAAACACATAGACCCCTCACGCATGACATATTACAATGACACCCCACAGTCAACTAACCCACCTGAAGTTTTAAAAGGACTATTTTGCACTTATTCANCTGCATAACTATCATCGCTTTTCGGCACTCTATTCTTGTGCATGCGACTTTAAAATCATCAGAAGCCTGCGACCAGAAAAAGTTAAAAAAAGCAAAAAAAGGTAAATTACATCGACTCCCCTGAACTTTGTCACTAAAACACATAAACCCCTCACGCATGACATATTACAATGACACCCCCACAGTCAACTAACCCACCTGAAGTTTTAAAAGGACTATTTTGCACTTATTCAAAATAATTAAAATCAGTCTAAACCAAACTCAATACCATATCCGACCCGCAACCCAAATCCGACCCAACACTTTTTTCCCTTTCATTTACCTCACTATCTCTCCACTCCACTGCCCACCAACTCTCCGTTTTTTTTTTTACTCATTATAAAAAAGTGGGGCCAAGGAAGAGTGCCCAACGACCACTCCGATAGACCCTCGTCGATAAAATCATAAGACGCGTTTGAAACAACTCTCGAAACTAAACCTAGCTAACCATCGAGCCCCAATATAAACTTCAAAACTCGAACTCACAGTATCCCTAGACCATCCTACTTGGTGGTCACCATCTCTCTGTATTCTATCGTTAATAGCCCACCGTAAAACCTCTTCCCTCTATCTTTGTCCACTGCCCACCACCGACCCCTCTCTATTTCTCTCTGTGTTCTATCACTAACCGCCTCTTGGTGGCTGGGTAAAGATGGCAATGAGAGGAGGGTGGTGGTGGATGGGTAAACGGTGGTGATGAGAGGAGGGTGGTGGCTGGATAAACGGTGGTGAAAGGAAGTGTTTGACAGTTAGGATTGGTGAATTCTCAAATTTAAGGAGATTTCGAACTTCGGGAATTTTGGAATTTAGGTTTAGATGTAACAAAGAGGAAATCCATACCTACGATAGGTAATGGTGATGATGACAGCACTGGTGGAAGTAGTGTTGGGCGGTGGTTGTGGCTCTGGTGCGGCGGTGTTGTGGTGGTGGTGGTTCTGGGCTGTGACGATATTGTGGTGGCAGTTCTACTATTCTACTGTGGCAGTGTGTCAGGAAAAGACTTTGTTGAGTTTAGTTAAATTTTTATACTCTTACCATTGTCAAATATGTATCTCAGCGATCCTGGAACAGACTCTGAAAAGAGTTGTTGGCAAAGATTGATGTTCCTCTACAAATTACATAAGGACACTAACCGCCGAAGAAAAGATGGCACATGGATTACAAAACTTCCTAACACATTCACCTCTATACAGATGCATACATTTACAGAAGAAGTCACGATAAATATTGTTGTAGACATTCTTTCAACTTTTGAAAAGTAACAGGCTTTGATACAAATGAGTCCATACCATTTGCGAAGCAATCATCTGCACTCTCTGACAATGCATTTGCAGTCATCTGCGTTTACATCAACTAGTTCTGTTAGTGGTAGTAGTACTAGTGGAATCGAATAAGTAATTCTGGATGTTTGACTATCACTCTAGGTAGATGTAAAATAAATAGATCAGTGAATCATTCAGCACTGTCGTACAGAAAACTGAAAAGTCCTATAAAACCCTATGCAGGAAATAAATTATCTACATCTGGTTTAAAAGCATGATTTATAATAGATCAATTGTACGAAAACAAACTCCTTGTCAAATAGCAAATGGAATTGTTCAGAAGCAATTACAGAATATCAATAACAGTGATGATTGCTCAGCTATAACCAGACAGTCTTAACCACTATATTGAGCAAAGGTTGGACAGTAAGAGCCCACTATTTGACAGTTGGAATCTTGTAGCAGTTTCGAAACCTAAAAATATTCACAGCTGGACTGCCCAACACGTGATGTCATGGTTATTGCTAGCAAACTTGGCCAGATTAGAAGAGATACAAAGGAGCAATAGGAGATGACTTCTAGAAACCCAAGCTGTTTGTCATAGCGGCAAATATAAATGTTTAAATCCTGTTAGAAGCAAAGCTTTATGATTTCAGGAAATGCAGAGAGGAAAGCCAGCCAAAATAGCAATCTTAACCACCAGTGTTTTAATTAAAGCTTATATGGTAATGAAGCGTCTGTCCATTGCCCTTTCTGAAACCCGAAAACAATCACAATGGATGCCCTATTTATGGTTAATACTGGTAAACTCTCTTAATTGGAGGCCAATGCCAAACGAATATATCTTCCAATAGTTCAAGCCGTCACCTATGAGTGCAACGGACATGATGGTTTTGTGAACCTCTACAGATGAAAGGAAACCTGTAATCATATGCTAGCACATTTAGATGCCGGCATAAGCATCCAGATGAACAGTAAAAGAGCTAAGCCATTTTCAAGCATGCAGGGTGTTGATACTCTGCCGCATTGGGAATAGAAAGAGGTTTTGCACTCCAGGAATTTGATGGTACAAATGCTAGACCAAAAGTACGATGCAAGGTCCAGATCAAACAAATAAAATGGAAAAGGAAGGGAGTCTGGACTGTGAGATGTTCTGTCCTTCAACATTAGGGATTATACGATCCCAATATGTTATATTCCAAAATATACCTAATATGTTATATTCCAGACTATACTTTGTTGGGTGGGGCTATTCCCACCCCTTAAATCTCCTTTCCCACTTCATTTAATCATTTTACTTCAAACTATTAAGTTCACCACATCTATGCCCACCTCATTAGTTACTAAACCCACCTCCTCTATATTCACTAATTAAAAATTAAATTCATTCAATTTNTCCCACTTCATTTAATCATTTTACTTCAAACTATTAAGTTCACCACATCTATGCCCACCTCATTTGTTACTAAACCCACCTCCTCTATATTCACTAATTAAAAATTAAATTCATTCAATTTTATTTCAATCTACTATATAGACAATAATAAAAATTTCGTTCAAGTGTATTATTTCAGTGCAAAAATATTCCATAACAGAATAAAAATTAATAATTATTTTTAAAATATTAGTCAAAATGTCTTAAAACACCTCAAAATATTTTAAAGACATTAGTGAAAATATATCGAAATATCTCAAAACACCTCAAAATAATATAGTTCACCTCGGAATATTGAGATTTCGCTTCAATACTAATTTTGTTTAGATTTTTTTTATATATATTTAATAGTTTAATGGAATAGGTATAAATAGAGTGAACTTAATAACTAATGGGGTGAATATAGATAGGGTGAACTTAATAGTTTGAAGTAAGATAATTAAATAGGGTGGAAAAAAAGATTTAAGGGATGGGAATAGCCCCACCCTACTTTGTTTGAGGACACCACATAGGAAATCAGAAACAGAGAACAGATGGGCATTAAGGCATCAACTCTGAGGAATGATAAGAGGTCAAGTACTTACCGCAATGATGGGCATCCTTTTTGTGGATGGTTTCAATTCTATATCACTTGGTGATGAATCTGATGAGGGCGTACACAGTTCGATCCCAGCTTTTGCTGCAGCAACCCAATTGCCAGTTTCCTCGAAGGAACGGATCAATCTTGTAGCCTGAAGGCCATCCATTACGGGCATACATACATCCTGCACATCATACACGATTTTGAAGAACTTCACTCACTAATAATCCTACTAGCATCTTTTTTTTGTCTTCCCATTGTCTTATCACACAAGATATGAGAGAGAGAGAGAGTCTGACTCTTGTACATTAGTTGCTGAGCTCTCTTTTATGTTTCTACTACTTTACATTGTTCTACAGCATGCATGCTACATAAATGCCGATAAAAAAATGTTTTATCTAAGCTACACAAGAATTTCTGTTTGAAAATAATTTTCTGTCCCTGGCACATAGTACATAATAGATGGGTTTATACTGTTACATCTGCTCGATGTCATTCTTAAGACTAGATCCAGGATTTCTACAACAAATCTGCCATCATTAGGAAATGTGATAGAGAGGATGGTCTAAACAGGAACCAAGCACTTATGGAAGCATCAAAGAATCTTACTCCATTAAACTATCTACTAAAAAGGTGAAATATAGATGATAAATANGCGATAGAGAGGATGGTCTAAACAGGAACCAAGCACTTATGGAAGCATCGAAGAATCTTACTCCATTAAACTATCTACTAAAAAGGTGAAATATAGATGATAAATAAATGGTAGAAAGCACAAATTTGAATAATGAAACAAGTTCATGTAAAGTTCTAATCAGAAGAAGCAACTAATAAAAAAGGGATGCAGATTTGAGTTTGTTGAGACAAGTTAAATTTCTTTGGCAAAAAAATAGAGAAAGGCACCATTGGTTTTTTTTTAATCAAAGTGCAATTCATGAATTGATAGAACCATTCACTCCCACAATAGCAGTAAATTCGACGTTATGAGAAACCTCTCTTCTTCCCNTCTTTGGCAAAAAAATAGAGAAAGGCACCATTGGTTTTTTTTTAATCAAAGTGCAATTCATGAATTGATAGAATCATTCACTCCCACAATAGCAGTAAATTCGACGTTATGAGAAACCTCTCTTCTTCCCTCTTAACAATAAGTAAGATCTTTTTACAAAGAGAAATTTTTAAGTGCGCCACAAACTAACATCTTTACCAATAACCAAGAAATCAATTGAGTCAATAATTTACTACTACTTCTGCAAGGCTCAACATCTAGCCTCTACACTCCCAAAAATGCATTTCATCTTTGTGTCTGTGTGTGTGTATGTGTCTGTGTCTCTGTGAACACACATGCACGCACAGGGACCTTGCTTTTTCATTCTTGATTAGTGTAAGGGAGCTGCTACTTTGATGTANTCTGTGTGTGTATGTGTGTCTGTGTCTCTGTGAACACACATGCACGCACAGGGACCTTGCTTTTTCATTCNTGTGTGTGTGTATGTGTCTGTGTCTCTGTGAACACACATGCACGCACAGGGACCTTGCTTTTTCATTCTTGATTAGTGTAAGGGAGCTGCTACTTTGATGTAAAGAAATGTTAAGAACAAGAAGCTAGAACTATTTACATAAGTTGGATTACAGGTATGATTAGGTACAATCTAGAATCAAATTTTAGTTCCTCAACAAGGCTTTATCCTGATGACAAAAAAACACGAAGAAAAGCAACTTTATTGAAATTGTTAACTTTGAATCTCCAACATCAAATTAATTTGAACTTGAAATTAAAGATACGAGCATAGGGTGCTATCCAACAAATAACTGCTACAGCTGGACAGCTGGAAAAAATACAAACTACACAGAAAAAGAAATATGGNTCTTGATTAGTGTAAGGGAGCTGCTACTTTGATGTAAAGAAATGTTAAGAACAAGAAGCTAGAACTATTTACATAAGTTGGATTACAGGTATGATTAGGTACAATCTAGAATCAAATTTTAGTTCCTCAACAAGGCTTTATCCTGATGACAAAAAAACACGAAGAAAAGCAACTTTATTGAAATTGTTAACTTTGAATCTCCAACATCAAATTAATTTGAACTTGAAATTAAAGATACGAGCATAGGGTGCTATCCAACAAATAACTGCTACAGCTGGACAGCTGGAAAAAATACAAACTACACAGAAAAAGAAATATGGAACAAAAGAGAAAATCAAATCATCAGTATGGGCTATTGTCTATTGATGTCATGGTGAATAAAATAATTCACCACAACAATGTAATGAGTATTAGGAAGAGCCCTACACCATGTTAATCATAAACTGGAGTGTAAATTTATTATCGAAAAAGAAATGCATAAGTCATGAAAGAAATCAAAACAGAACAATAAAACAAACACTTTGAGGTCATGTATAATTACCATTAAAATGAGATCATAAGGACTGCCCTGGACTGCACGCACAGCTTCAACTCCATTATCCACAACATCTATGCTATAGCCTAACTGCTTCATCATCGACCGTGTTACCATCACATTGATTTTGTTATCTTCAACAAGAAGGATCTTTGGTTTTGATGTGGATTTTGGAATTTCTGGACTGTTGCTAGAAGAGCACTCTGAGCTTCTGTCAGATTTCATTTGCATTTGACCTGTTTCTGGGGTGTTTCTTGTCTCTATAATTTCAGCCCCATTTTTGCTTGTTCTTGAGGAATGAGTTGTGTGCATGCAAGGATTTTGGCATTGATAATCATCATGGATGTGTTTTTCTATACCAACAACATATTTATTACCAATGTCAGGGCTACACCTCAAAGAACATTCAGGTTCAGATGATGTCTCAGCAGCATCAGCTATTGAGCAGGCATCTTCTATAGAACTCATATCTTGTAATGTGGAGTTATTAGATCGGAATGAATAGGGATCTTTTGACAATTCATTTAATTTATTATGAAAGCTGTTAACCCCAAAATTCTTTGGGGTCAATTTTTGGTTCCTGCCAGGACCATTAGAAGAGAATAGAGATCCCAAAGTGCGAGGTTGGAACTGGAAGAAACCAGAACTTGCATCATCTTCATTTGAATCAGCAGTGGCATCATGGTCAGCCATTTCTGACATGTCATCAGGATCATCTGAACTATCACACACAGGTGAAACCTTGTAGGGAAGTACGAATGTAAATGTAGACCCATGGTGCTCCCTACTTGACACGGTCAGTTGACCCCCCATGAGCTCAACCTGTTCCGTATGCATATCAATGTCAGAAGTGGCATCAATTATTGGTATTTTAAGATTTGGAAAACAAAACTATTTATGGGTGGAATTTAATATGCAACTAAATGAAATTCAATACATACTAATCCAATTTCAGAGTATCGCTTGAATTATGATGAATTCACAGAAGCATAACATATCATTTTATAATAATTCTATGTAAAAGGCAAAAACTCTTTATTATGAAGGAGCTTGATTGGAAAGGACTTACGTATCATAGGCTATGATGGTTCTGAGGCTCATAACAAGCCAGAGGAGAGATGGTAATTAATTTTCTGGATATAGATTGCTGTTCGGTAGTTTCTATCTTTCAATGAATTCTTGTACTTCAGAAACAACTATATAATCTTTAAATAATTCAGGAGACAAGTTAAAAAGTACTCTAACTGGTCAAGAACTCATTTGATAACAAACTCGCTGAACAATGCAGAGAAGACACGGATATCATATTGTTGTTAGCCTAATTGAAGAAATTTGCTTTTGAAATTCCATACCCTATACTGCCGCCTAAACTCTGGAAAAGAAAAGCAGATGGAAATGAAAAATAAGTGATTGCAAAAACAATTACCAGTTGTTTGCAGATTGCTAGACCTAGTCCTGTCCCACCATACTTCCGAGCAGTGTCTGCACTGACTTGCATGTATTTCTTAAATAAGGTAGGCAAAGCATGATCTGTTAAATCATAGTGAAAATTGTTTGTCTTACTATCAGTACCAGGCAAACATAATATAACATCAATTATAATGTAGCATTTACAAAAGTACCTGGTATTCCAATTCCTGTATCATAAACGTCACAGCGAATCCACACTGATGTTTCACGGGGTTGATAATGGTTCTCTTTGTCGCCATCCTCTAAATCTCCTTTTTTAATCGGAGCTTTGGGTTCATCATTCTGTGTATGATTGTGACAAGGACCTCCTCCATGTTTCTGTCCAATAGAACTCTTCTTATCACAACCACTTTCAGATGTTGAAGAACATTTATCATCTTTGCATATATTATCTAGAATTGATGACTGGTCTACTGTTGTATTCTGATGAGATCCTTTGTTCTGAAATGAAAATGGTTCATGTACCAGATAAAGCTTTATCCCAACTTTCCCTTCATGAGTAAACTTGATTGCGTTGCTGCAGTGAATAAGAAAAATATATCAATTTGAAAAATAATCCAACAGAACTGTAATAACTGCAAGGTTGAAAAAAATATGCTGAAGGTACAATAAATTGGAAACACACCATACATGGAATTGTTTTTGTTGAAATTATACTTATTTAACCACTGCTACATTTCACTTAAAGGAAGCTATGTTGGTCTCTTTAGCAAACAACATTCTTTTATGACATAAATAAAATATGTTAGTTAAAGTTATAGGCTCAAGAAAGGATAACTCCTTTTGTTCTATAGTCCTTTACGACGTCCATCACATAAGTGTAACACTCAATTCCATAAGTGAAAGATTCTGGGTATTGACTGTTGGTAAGAGTTTCACTTCTCTGTTTTTTTTTTTTTTTCCATTCATTTGCTGTTGTTCCAAATTTGATGTATGGTGATGAGCATACATATGGATCAAAATTATGTATAAAACCAGATAATATAGGTCACTTGAAAGAACATTTTTTGTGCCCAATTGGGCCATGTTTATGGTAGTTACAACCTTTTGTGGCATTTACTCATCTACATGTTGGTTTGTTATTGGATTGTGACACCACGTGACAATAATGGCGTATTGTGACCGTCAGATTGAATATTTTCTCAATCCACAGATACACATATAATGTGTGGCATTCCGCCCATGGAAGATTTTTGGGTGTATGACTAAATAAGACATTTTCAACACAATTCACCATATTCTTAGACTCTTAAACAGAGACCATTCACGGTGAGTGTCCTATAAAATCAAGGTGCTGGCATTGTTTATAAAATGGGTGGAATTCAAATTTGCGAAATGATGGAGCCGCATATAAGCAGCAGGAAGGGGGAGATGGGCACCTCTGAGTAAAACTCCTACTTTGCTTCCATATCCCTCACCCACTCTCACCCCACGAAAAAATAAAAAGAAAGATATTAGCTCCATCACTGCTCAGATTTGAACCACATGTTCAGACTATATCACTCCACAATTTTCATAGTGAAATATTGGTGAAGGGAGTTTGCAAAAGTTATCTTATTGGCAAGTTCATAAGATACGAGAACCACAGCCAAGTCAAAGCATCTGTCTTAAAATGAGCACGAAATTGTGTGAATACGCACAACAAGGAGCTACTGACATATTATGTATGTATGGGAAGGATCATCTATATATGGATAGGACTCGTAATTTTTCAATCTGACATTTGAATTGTGTGACCTTCCCATGTCTGTCATGGTTGTTAAATTTGTGGCTGGTAGTCTTGTACCCTATCAATACAAAGTTCCTTATGATAAAGTTCATCTTTTAATATTTAGTGAAGTTATACATCATATTCCAAAAGCGAGAGATTCATCTGATATGTGGCAACATGATGGTCATGGCATATATTTCTAATCTACTGCAAGGCTTGGAGGAAAATAGATCCCACAAAAACTCGTGTCGGGTGTAGACTAAGTCTGGTTTGCATTTGGTTCTGTTGATCCTTCTCAATAAATGCATCTCTCTATCTATCTATATATGGTGACCCAATCCCACATTGCCTGGTGAAATGTGTATGGAATACTTGATAAGTGTGAGCTTTGCACCTTCATTTTACAATTCATTTAAAGTCATGCGACTCTAGCCCAAAGTAGACGACATTATACAATTTGGGGTCTGCATTGTTGCAATTGGCACCAAAACTAGCACCAACTGCAAATGTGGAATCGGTCCTACATGAGGATGTGTGACCCTAAGTGGGCAGATTGTGGTGCCCCAAGATTCCAGAGGCTTATGGCCAAGATGGATTAGTTGAGGCGAGGTGAGGTAAAGGTGTCAAGTCTATCAACCTTGTCCCACATCATCTGGACAGTGTGCATGAGGTCCTTTATAAGTGTGAGCCTTTCCCTTCACGGAGCAAGATGTTTTAACCCAAAGCAGACAACACTGTACAATGCAGGTCAATAAATACATGTATATATGCACACACATATACGTAGAGTAAGAGGGGGATTTGAATTGTTCGCATGAAAGTATCATTTCTTTGTGCTCCTATTACTCCTTAAATGCCAAGTGAGGAGTTGACATTATCGTAGACCATTCAATATCCTTCAATATTTAAACATAACATAACTGCAGCTAAGTTGAAGGCATCTGTAGAAAAGTGAAATCAGACTGATGCAAAAAATCAAGGAAGCACCCATGCTTTGCGCCATGAAAGGTAGAATGGGTGCCTAACTGCTCAACAGACCATAAACTTGAGACAACAGCCATAAGCATAGCGTAGGAGCAACCAGAAATTGGAAAACATCTTATCCAGAATTGTCCATTTGCAGTTAAAGTTCTTCCATGGCATAATCAAATATATACGAGAACTACTCAGGATTTGTAAGTAATGTTCTTAAAACCAACTAGACAAGTATGTGAGCAAAATAAATGGGAAAGAGAAAAAGCTCTGCCAAACAAGGCTACCATCAGTAACACAGTTTAGCAGTATGTCAACTGCATAAAACTAGTGAATACCCATCCAATGAAATTTTAAGCATTGCAGAAATCAATACCTGATCAAGTTGGTGAGAATTTGTCGAATCCTTAGAACATCTCCAATAACCTGAAACCATTGAATATTTTTACACAAATGACTATTGCAAAGCTGCAAAGAATATTTAAAGTGTTCTCTAGTTACCTAAAACCAACAGCAACGAGTTAACATAATGTTAATTTCTTAGATGAACTGAATGCATGGTTCTTAATGTGTCTATATGAGAATACCTAGGAACAAGATTCAGTGATCGTGCCTGAAAAGATTTTCTTTCTCACTCTATTAAAAGAGTTCACATAATACCTAGTATAACACACCATCAATCAAAACTTATTGATGAACTGTGCAATTCAGAAGAATTAACAAACTGTGTGTGGGTTGGTAAGTCAGACCAATACGTGTTGTGATATCCAGTTATAACACAACATACACCAGTCATAATGAACATACAGTAGTCTTCTGGACAGGGACCAACAGTATATAAGCCTTTTGCATCCCAATTTGAGCCTTTATAGCTGCACTAGAGAAACTTTTATTGACGATTTATGATCTCTTGAAATCTACCTTGGTCAAAGTATTCTAATTTGTCCAATTAGACTATATGGAGTCAAGCTTGATTATTTTATAATTTCATCATTATTTCAGACAGTTTATCATTTATGGGATTCTCTGTTCGTCAAGAAATCCCTGAGGCATGTCTTACGCAGAATATGAGAGGAATGAAGGAAATGTAAATATTAACATCGTGTGTTGTTTAATCATAATAGTTTCTGATAACTGGCATTTGGGCACTAGCTCAGAGGAGCTCGGCAACTTGTAGGAGCTCCAACTCGCCAGCCCACTTTGCCAGCTCGGCAGAGCCCTATCTCCTCATGGCCTTGCCTAATGCAACTCAGCTGAGACTCCTACTCCAGCAAGGAGTACACCTCCAACATGGCACATGTACCGCCTTAATTCAAACCAAAAATAGGGATCCTCCAACGGCCAAATCAGACAACCTATAAAAAGGGAAAGATGGAGATGATTCAGGTACACACTTGTAATTCCAGTTGAATACTCTCCTTCCCAAAATTCCTTTCCAACTTAAAGCATCGGAGGGTCGACCCCCGAAGCCCCTCCAATCTTCAGCTTGACTTTGCTGGTGCTTCTCTTGGTCGGTTTTTCGTGCTAAGGCTAGCTGGTGCACGGGTTTCGAGTCACTCGTAAAAGACCGTAAATCAGTTGGTGCCACCTGTGGGAAACGCATAACACTAGAGGACCAAANTTTGCTGGTGCTTCTCTTGGTCGGTTAAAGCACGATTCCGATCGACCACGTGCCCAAAGCTCAGTGAGCATTTTCTGGCATAATCAGTTGGTGCCACCTGTGGGAAACGCATAACACTAGAGGACCAAGGCTATAACCCTTCCACTGAAGAAAACAAAAACGGTAAAAGTGAAATTGAAAGGTGTGTCTTAACCCTATATGCTTCACTTTGAAGAGTCTTAGTAACTTGAGATAAATGTAAGTGAAAGGGATACTCAAACTAAGAGTAGAGTCCCGTATATATAGTCAAATAATAATATAAAGTAACCAAAACATCCTTGTGGTATAGGCAAAATATAAAATCATAGTAAGGGTAAAAAAAGGAAAAAGAAACCATAATAAACTAGACTATACTCTAACACTTCCCCTCAAGTTAGGTGCAAAAATATCAACTAAGCCAAGCTGGACAACAGAGTCCCGAAGAATGGATAGAGTGACAGATTTGGTGAAAACATCCGCAATTTGATTCTGGTCCCCACAAACAATGGAGTGACAATACCACATCGAACCTTCTCTCGAAGAAAGTGAACATCGATCTCTATATGCTTTGTCCTCTCATGTAATACAGAGTCAGAAGCAAGTTGAATAGCAGATCGATTATCACAATATAATGTAGATGAAGAAGCCACAGGAAATCCCAACTCGCCAAGAATCGATCGTAGCCAGATAATCTCATATGTGTCAAGTGTCAGTGCCCGACACTCTGCCTCTGCTGACGAACGAGAGACAACTGTCTGCTTCTTGCTCTTCCAAGAGATAAGATGAGTTCCTCGAAAAGCACAGAAGCCCGTAGTAGATCGACCGTCACATGCTCTCCCATAATCTGAATCTGAATAACAGGCTAGAGGACCAGTCTGAGATCCTAATGCATAGAACAACCCAAGTCCAGGACAAAACTTGAGGTACCGAAAAATATGATAAACTGCATCAAGATGTGGTTGACACGACCTGTGCATGAACTGACTAACTGGGCTGACATCGAATGAAATGTCTGGCCTAGTGTTGGCTAGGTAGATAAGTCTACCTACCAACCTCTGACAGACAGTCCGATCTCTCAACTCCTCACCTTCAGCAGTAAACTTCAGGTTTGGAATCATGGGTGATGATGCCGGTTTGCACCCCAACATCCCAGTGTCTGAGAGAAGATCCAGAACATACTTTCTCTGAGACAAAATAATACCCTTACTGCTACGGGCAACCTCAATCCCAAGAAAATATCGCAGAAATCCAAGATCCTTCACATCGAAGGCCTTCCCAAGGTCTACCTTGACTTGTATAGTCCCAGAAATATTATCTCCAGTAATAATAATATCATCAACATATACTAGAAGGATGACACACTGTCCAAAAGTATTCCGTCGAATGAAGCAGGTATGATCAGAATGACATCTAGTGAACCCTAAACGTACAACTACATCACTAAAGCGAGAGAACCAGGCTCATGGTGACTGTTTTAGTCTATAGAGAGACTTACGCAGTCGACATACCTTTCCAGCATACTTCCCCTCACCACGAAAGCCCGGTGGTGCATTCATATAAATAATTTCATCCAGATCACCGTGAAGAAATGCATTATTCACATCTAACTGATGAAGAGGTCAAGAGTACCCCGCAGCCAGAGAAATAATCAATCGAACAGTAGTCAATTTTGCCACGGGGGCAAAAGTAGCACCAAAATCACGACCTAGTACCTGAGTAAAGCCCTTCGCCACAAGCCTAGCCTTGTGACGATCAATAGTACCATCCGCAAGAAACTTCAGAGTGTAAACCCAGCGACAGCCAACAAGCTTCACCCCTGAAGGTAAAGAGACAAGATCCCACGTATGATTATGGCAAGAACCCACTAGGGCTCCCGCATAGCCTCTGAAACAGAGCGAGGAACCGGCGTCTCTGATAAAACCATACTATAAGCTCGAAATGTAGAAGAAAGATCACCATAAGAAACATAAGCAGAGATCGGATATAAAGTCCTAGCAGTCCAACCATAACGGACAACTGGACGGTGATCACGCTGTGGATAACGACGCCCTAAATCATCATCTTCCATTGACAATGTCTCATCAAGGAAAATAACTGGCTCAGTCCCTACAATCTCATCAGTACTAACAGCAGGTACATCAATATACTCAATAAACTGAGAAGTATTACCTGCATCGCCTGAGGTAGAGGGGACATCAGCAGTGGGATGAGAACGAGGGCGACGAACATAAACCTGCAAAGGAAGAGAGACTGGTGACTCTATACTAACAAGGACAAGTGGCTCTGGTGGAGGAGAGACTAATGACTCTGTAGTAATAGTGACCAATGGCTCTGGTTCCTGTGATAACAAAAAATTAAAGGGAGTATCATCGACTGGAGGGGCAGACACAGGAATAGAAGAACAATAAAAAATGTGCTCAAGAAAGGTAACATCTAAACTATGATACATACGGCACCTGATAGGATCATAACATCGATACCCCTTAGCCTGATGACAATAGCCTACAAAGACACAACAAATCGCTTTATGACTTTCAGTGTATATGTCTATCTGTTTCAGTTTGATATGGTAGCCACTTGCAACCCAAGGTTGCACTTGAGGGAGAGTGTGAAGAGAACTTGTATCCAACATTAAAAGATTCGAAATCCCCAATGTTGATTTAAATGGTTAAGGGATCTTACCACTCTTAGCTAATTGGTTATTAATTGTGCACGGGAGATTTCCTGCAATGAATATAGATAGCAATCCTTTCGATGATGAACTGGAAACAACCACGGGGTCAGGAAAAGGAGTCGGTTGAACACCCAGCTTATCCCCTCCGAAACTTAAGTCAGTATAAGTTTGGAGGCTTTAGCATAGTGTTTCTCTTTTTTCGGTTTAGTCTTGCGTACCTTTGTTCATCTTTCTGAGGAGTATTTATACCTGGATCAGTAATGAGTGCAAGGACATGGAGTCACATCTCGACATTTAATGACTTTCACTCTTATCCATGCGTAATGAATGTTTCTCACTCAGATCTTTGCACCTAGTTTACTCGGGCGATAGGGTGACTACTCAAGACATGTCGAGCACTTATGGCCCTATCCCCAGTCATTTCCCTTCTGATCGGCGCTTAACATCTACTCTCGGGCGTTCAATGCTCGGAGAACAGTACCCTGGGGATATGTCGAGGGAATATGCTCGCCACAATAGCCATTAATGCTTTGCAATTATGACTGTCAGTTTGGGTCTTGAGGATGCTAGGACTCATTAATAGTCCTATCACAGTCACTCACGTCTTTATTAATAAGTTGTCATGTCTTCTTAAATGTTGGTTTCAGTTACGTGTACTCAGCTCCTCCGAGCCATTACTCCTCGATGCCACCTCTCGGTGCCTTTTGAGTTTCATAATGTCTACATCTTTCCACATGGTGATATGGGGGCTGCTTAGCCGCCTAGAATTTTGTCAAATTGGATGTTTTAACATCATTAACCTGATCTATTGGAAAATCAAAAAGAGGTGCCTAGTGCTTGATATTGGATAATAGTGTAGGAAACACACAAATATAAAACATTCACATTACAATTACAAGTAGAATTTTTGACACTAGAGTTCATCTGTCCTACCACCACTTTTGTACAACATAATATTTTAAGAAAAGTTTTCTTTGGTAATCTTTAATTCTTTATTTTGATTCCATGGTTGTGTATGCTTGAAGGAACTAATGCATATTTTGGATTTCCATAAGAAGGGTAAAACAAGACATAAAATGATTGGAGTGCTTTCCAAATGTGAACTTATAGGTAATCAGATCAACATTGTTCTTAAGCACTGCTTAACACACTTTCTATGTGAACGAGTGTTGCATTTTTTATTTTTGGAACTAGATCAATGTTACATTCAATGCCATTTTTATGACATGTGTCCATATCTTGCACCCCAACATTGTTGTTGTCACCATAAATGTGATTTCCTAAACCTAGACACGACTTCTATCTGGTATAAGCAGTATTTTAAAACCCGGCCTGGCCGGGCCGGTCAACTTGGTGAACCGGTCCCCTAACTGGACTAAGTTTATTAAAACACCATTTATGTAAAGAACTCGGGATAAACCCGTTGAACTGGTCAAAAACCGGTAAACCCGTGAAAACCAAACGAGTTTACCACACTTGGCGGTTTGATTTCATTGGTATAAATGTAAGATTTTTTTCATCTTTTGGGCATTTTCTGTT